GGACCCCAACGTGCCGTCACAGCAGGTGGCTGCCCCCAGTGGTCACACTGCAGTAGAGCCACCCCTCTGATCAGCCCCTCCCTTTCTATGCTCTGGAAAACAATCCCATTCCAGACACTTCCTGTTTTCCTGGCACAAGCAAACCCAGACCTTGCTGCCTTGGGGGTCCTAGCTCTTATTGCACAGGGGGAGCTCTTGGACAGACTCACAGATGGACGGACTCACAGACAGACAGACATATATATATATATATATATTGTGACAGAGCACAGCCTGTGAAATGCAAATCTCTCATAGAAGGCAGCTACATTGGGAGGTGGGTTAATGCCTTCTTGTTTCCCAATTAGACTCACCTGAACACAGCCCAGCAATCAGGGCAGACAATGGAGGCCTAATTAGGAGTCTGCCTGCAACAGGGGTTAATTAAGCACCTTGTTGCTAGTTAAGGCCTCCAGGTCCCTATAAAAGGGTTCCTCCCAGGCATCAGGGGGAAGAGTTTTGAGAGGTGCAGAGCGGGGAAGTGCCGGATCCCAAGGTAAGAGGCGGAAGATAATAGAAGGAAGCGGTGGATGAAGTGGCCTGGGGAAGGGTAGTATTAGGGTGGGGCAAGTATTAGGTAGTATTACGGGGGTATTAGGGTGGGGCAAGAAGCCCTGCCAACCACCCCTTCTGTAGGGCCCCTGGACCGGAGTCCAGTGAAGTGGGTGGGCCTGGGCTCATACCCCCCTTCTCTTGGAGGATTACCCCGCCGGCGAGACAGGAACATCCAAAGGCCAGGAAAAGGGGGGCTGTCTCCCCCCCTCAGGACTTGCCTGTGATGAGAATGACTCGGGAAGCAGGGACCCTTGCCTCTGGGGAAGTCCCAAGGCAACAAAGGGGTCCCCGTGAGTCTCTGAGGCACACAAGAAACCGTCAAGAAGCGCAGAACCCATGGGGAGCTAACAAGGGACTTTGTCACAATATATATATAAATAAACACCCCCCATTTGCCCAGCAGTGCCCAAACTGAGCACTGCTCCAAATTCCTCTCTTCTATCTTGTTTCGGGAAGGTGTGTTGAGACGCGACCCCATTCCAGGTTCATCTGATTTTTCTGGCTCCTCTTGGTTCAGTCTCTTTCAACTTTCACTCCGTTTTGTCACTGGCGAGGACTGCACTTGCTTAGGCGATTCTGTTTTCTTTTCGGTGGGGTTGTGCCAGGGAAACGGGATGTGCGTGCAATGGAATTGCTTCTCCTAAAACCAAACTACAAGACGAGGAAGCTGCAGACCGAATTTGGGGGCTGTAGCGCTTACCACGTAGGAGGAGATCTTGACCAAACAGACAGACACGCTCTCTAAAATACAGAGTAGATCATGAAGATATTTCCAGCGTTATTTTCCATCCTATTTCTTCCACGGCCCATTGAGCAAAACGCACCATGACGCTTAAGATTCAGCCCCCAAAGTGAAGGTTGTATGGGGTTCATATGGGTGGATTCATGAGCTTTTCCTCCCCTCTCCCCGCCCCGTTTTCTTTCAGGATCTGCACCCTCACTCCAGGATGTCTAAGTTCATCAAAGCCATCACAGATTTGATTAGCAGCTACCAGGACAATTCCAGAAAGGGCCGTGAATCCGAGCGGTTCCAGAGGTGCG